ATTTTAAATCCGTTCACAAACTGCCCCAGGACACTCAGCTGCCTCTCTTCATTTTCTTCTCTTCTAATTGATTCTGTCAGGCAGTAAGAGCTCTCACTCCCTGGAGGCATTCGCAGAAGGCCCAGTGACCACTTGGCAGCCAGGGAGGGACCTGAGTGGAAATTTGTGCTAGACCCAGGACTCCTACTTTCCATCTGCTTGCATAAGTCAGTGTGAGTGGGGTGGGAAGCCATTTACCTCATTATATAGATGAAGAAACAGAATCATATAGACTGGATAATGTCCCTATTGCTGTGCAACAAATAAATAAATAAATAAATAAATAAATAAATAAATAAATAAATAAATAAACCAAAAATAAAACTGGTTGATTTGGGACTTGAATTTGAACTTTAGAGGCCTTTTGCTGCATGAAGATCCTTTTCTTCAGAAATTCTGAATATATGCTTTGTTTGTTTCATGAATATATGTTGCCTTCTCTCTCCGTCTGCTTTGTATGTGCAAGCCCTCCGACACTGGGCTAACCCTGCTGCCAGCCCCCAGTCGATGCCTGTAGCTCTAAGCCACAAGCCTATAAGCTGTACAGGGTTGTACAAAAGGGAGGGAAAGGCAAGCTCCTCGTGAGTTGCTCACAGCATGCACTTGCTGGGACATTGCTATCTTAGGATGGGATAGCTGTCACCATGGCCTGGCCTGAAAATGGAAAGCGTTGTGTGCCTGACCCCAGCTCTCTCACAAGTGGAAGGTGACATTGTGCCTGAGTGGGTCACGGAAGGCTGAGTAAGGCTGGGGACATAGGAGAAGAGAAGGGGGAAGAGTTTCCTAGGGATCACAGGGGGTGGGGCAGCACAGGAGCTAAGTTTCCTAGTGGCCGCGGATGCTTCCTTACAAAGGTGAAACGTACAGGTAACATTATTAAGAATTTCAAGATGGTGACCACAGAGCACAGAACTAAAGTACATAGGCTTTCTTTTTTTTTTAATTTTTTTTAAAGATTTATTTTTATTATTTTTTTTTTGGAAAGGCGGATATACAGAGAAGAAGATCTTCCATCAGATGATTCACTCCCCAAGTGAGCGCAACGGCTGATGCTATGCCGATCCGAAGCCAGGAACCTCTTCCGGGTCTCCCATGTGGGTGCAGGGTCCCAAAGCATTGGGCCGTCCTCGACTGCTTTCCCAGGCCACAGGCAGGGAGCTGGAAGGGAAGCAGGGCTGCCAGGATTAGAACCGGCGCCCATATGGGATCCCGGGCGTGCAAGGCGAGGACCTTAACCACTTGCGCCACTTGCGCCACTGCGCTGGGCCCTAAAGTACATAGGCTTTCTAAGCAGAGGGAACCTATAAGCTTGTGAGAGCTGCACGCTTGGGAAGCAGGCCCTGGGCTGCAGAAAACCAAAGCACTGTGACTCTTCAGCTCAAAGTGCTTACCTAGATATCTGCTCACCTAGGAACAGGGTCTAAAGCCATCAGTTAGTACCATTCAACATATAGTGTTTATGCACAGTGTTGTAGGTAAGTTTGACGTTTAGGCTTTCTGTATTGTGTTTCTTTGGAAATGAGTGGCTAGTTGAATTTCCTCATTTTTTCCCCTCTCTTCATTCTGCGAAATTTTATTCAGCAGGGATATGTGGCCAGGGTCAAGGTGAGGGGGGCACCGCTTGTTGGATGACGTACTGGAATCTTCAATGTGCAAGATTTTCCTTGAGTGAACGGCACATGGGAAGGCATGGGAAGAGGGACCAGAATGAGTCCGCTGTTGTGAGATCCAAAAGGATGAAGGAAAATCCATTTGATTGAGCTGAAAAAGTGGGTCAGAAATTGAGCGGAAGAAGTGGGCCAGGATGTGAGAGTGGGTAAACTGGCAAAGGTCACAAGTACCTGACCACCTGGCTGTGGATGAGGAACCAGGATTGGAATAACAGCCGACTTTAGAGAGAACTCCCATTCCAAAGGGGGAAATGAGTTCTTGGAGGGAGCAGAGGAAAAAGCTCCAGCCCTCCAAGACTAAGTGGGTGGATCAGGGCTGCACAAGCCATTAAACACCTACCCTGCTGCTCTGGCACCCTGAGCCAAGGGAGGGAGCCTGCTGCGTCCTGGCTGGCCGTGGACCGGCCTCTTTCAGTCCTGCTGCACCATGTGTCCAAAAGCATTTATGAAGCAACAGCAAGGTCACAGACTTGACCAAAAGCTATTTTCAGTGCTCCCCTCCCCCCCCAAATAAAGAGACATTTGGCAAGTTGCTCAAGTGCTTTAGCCAGGCAGGGGGCTTGTGACCCGTAACAAATGACAGCAGGGGACAGCTGAGACCAACCCTTGGAAGTAATAGTTCTTTGGTCAACATTTTTTTTTTTTTTTTTTTAAATCATGCTCTGTGTGCTGCAGCAGGAATATGTGCAAGGCTGTTGGCTCCCCCTGGTTTGGCCTCTCCATGGTGGCTCCAAACCAAAGCAGAATGGTTACCGAGGGTGGGGGCTGCTCAGCAGTCTTTACACCTTGTGCATTAAATGCTTCTGTTTATAAAGCAGGAACCACAAATGCAGATTTATCTTATCAGGTAGTTGAAATATAAACAGTCTAAATGGTTATGAGAGCCACAAGGGAGGGAGGCTCTTTGCCAATGTATAGGGAGCGGAGAACAACTGTACTTAACTATCAAGTTCCTCCTGTAAATATTTGCAAATGCCCCTTCAGAGCTCAAAAGCCCAAGGCTGGATCATTGGATGATTTGCTTAGAGGAAGAAGAAACAAAATTGACCTCCTGGTCTGAAGCAGTCATAAAACAGGAAGAGTGTATATGGGCAAAAAACCAAAAAAAAAAAAAGAAAAGAAAAAAAATGTTCAAAGTTTAATAAGCACGAAAGAGAATAAAAATAAATCTCAAGAGGACTTATTTACAAACTTGATGGAAGGATAAGATTGAGCGAGTGGGTGGGTGTGAAAGATGGCTGTTTGTGGAACAGACCGGTGGGTTCTCCCTGTAAGAGAGGGGGGAAACAAGAAGAAGATGTTTACTATCGCTAGCAGCAGGAACTACATTCATGAGCTTTGGTATTCCAGGATGCACTTTCAAAGGATGTTTGGAGTTTCTTCAGTCTAATGCACATGCTATGGAGGCTGTACAAAGAGGGATGGAGCCACCCAACCTGGCCAATAGGGTGCGTAACACCAGAGCCTCTGTCCCCAGCCCTGCCCAGCCCCCTCTGCCAGGGCTGCCTGGCCATTTTCAGCTAAGCTGGTTCAGATAGGACCAACCTTTCCAGTTACCGGGTTGGGCATATTTCAGAAAAAAGATCTGGCTCTTCTTAGCTGCCCCCTTTTCAAATTGCTGTGCTGTGGGGCTCTGAAGTGTTTAGATGTTGCCATGTTTGCCAACCTCCAAACTGCCCACTAACTATCGGACAATGGTGATAAGACACAGTGGGTCATTATCTTGCCTGCCTGAAGACTTGCTTTTCTCTGAAACCCAGCTGCATTGGATTCTTTCTGTAAGTTTGTAAATCAGCATCTCGCAGAGTACTGTTTTTCTACCAGCTTGCTCCATGAAAGTCACAAGTGTCTGAGGAAAGGCACAGGGGAAAACTTCTGGGAGGGAAAACATGCAGAGCTGTTACTATAAGGATTTGCTAGTGTCTTTCTCTATTTTTTGTAAGTGTAATCATCAGAGCCAGGATTTCCCAGGAAATCACAGAAGGTGTTTATCTCTATTTGAAGATCTGCAAGGTGGTTTGCTTATTTAATGCACAGTGGATGCTGCCAATAACCCAGCCGCACCAGTCTTTAGAGATTCCCATTGGTGACCAGCTACAGAAACAGTGGGTATCAGGTGAACTCCGTGAAGGCAGAAACCTATCCTGGATATATGGGAAAGAAGAAGACCTGGCGATGATAGTTTCTGGCTTTAAGACTCTTCACATTTCACAGTAAAAAGCAAAAACAAACAGAACGCGGGAGCAATGACACTATTTGTAAAGCAGCATAAAATATTGTGAGCAGTTGTATTATTATGAAACTTCACGTCCAAAGAAAAGGTAGACCGAAGTGAAATCACCAGAGAACACCATTGGAACACCCCTGGAAAACAGAAGACACTGGTTTTGCTTTGGGGAAGTGTTCAATGAATGCATGATGTCTAGGAAGCATGGGATGAACAAAAACCTTCTTTGGTCTTGGTTGGTTGCATATTCAAAGGCAATGGCAGACTACTAAAAAATAAAGGCAAAACTCTAAGCAACCCTCAGCTTGGAACTATTGTGTAGTTTTCTCTATCTTTCCATGACTCAGAATGTTTCTTCCTCACCTAAGATTACCTCCCATCAGTGGACATTATCCTGAATAAGGAAGCTTAAGGCTGAAGCGTGTGTAGCCAATTTGAGGGGATGGTTTGTTTACTCAGATTTCCTCACTATGTTTATTCAGATTTTCTCACTTTAACTTCAGGGTATATTTGGCCGTATGTGTATGAAAAACAAATATATTGAAGCCAAAAAAAAAAAAGAGAGAGAGAGAGAGAGATGTAATACATGAGCCTGGATAAAAGTACAGTATTTGATTGCCAAATTTTCAAGGAAAAAAAATACCTGGGCAAACTGCCTGCCATTAGGGGCTATTTTCTTGGCACATTTGATTAAATTGTATGCAAGCCTGACAGCTCTCCTCAGGCATCCACTGTCATTAACTTGTTCCAATTCATAACCATCGAGGATTTTCCACCACTCTGTCAACCTTCAAAGAACAGGGTTAACTGCATGCCCTCCAGGAGAGTTGCAAGTGGTTTGTTAATCTCTATTAATCTTCTGCTCCTGTAACCAAAAGCGTCTGTTTATTTTTTTCCTGATTAAATTGTTAATGCCATTAAATCAGCTGCTTGAAGGGATATTATTGTTTAAATATTTCCCTTGTTGTTTCTTGGAACTAGCTCATGCTGTGCATTGTTGTTGTTGCTGTTGTTTTAGTACAGTGGATTTGATCACTTTCAATGACTGCCCTGACTTTTCACAGATGCCATCCCACCCACCTTCTACAGACCCTACTTCAGAATTGTCCGATTTGATGTGTCAGCGATGGAGAAGAATGCCTCCAACCTGGTGAAAGCAGAATTCAGAGTCTTCCGTTTGCAGAACCCAAAAGCCAGAGTGTCCGAACAACGCATAGAGCTGTATCAGGTAATTTCTGATTACTGTCTGTTCTAATGGGTAACCTGTTTTCTTAAGATAAAAAGACTTTCTGCTATACATAGTTCTTAGCTGACATAAACAATTCTATAATTCATATTTATATAGATTCCCTTATTTGCTATTCCTGTTATCCTCACAGCTCATTCCTAATTAGTGAGAGCTTTAAAGATGAAATGTGAAGTTCGGAGTTTCTTCAGGGGCATGAATGGCTGAAATACCGACCCCTTGGCAGAGTTCAGACTATAAAACAATTCCCTAATCTGGAAAGGAGATACTGTAAGCCCAGATCCGCCTGGAGCAGTGAAGACAGCTGATGTGCAATGTCTGTCCCTTTTCTCCTGTTTTCTCTGCTTTTCCTTCCTCTTCTCTTTCACTCTTTGTGTTTTGCACTCTTTTTTATTCTTTCTCACTTTGCTACTTCCTGTCTCTGTAGTAACCCCATCCTCTTTCCTTCTCCTCTTGGACTCTGCCCAGTCTTTTCCATCTGTCAACTCCTCCCACATCACCTGTGCACCCTCCCTCCGTTGTTTTAGCAGCTCTGACATCACCTCTTTGTCATCTTTCTGGTGGAGTTGCTGGCAGCTGTGTCAAAAATATTATGATGAAGTTAAATGTCAAGTTACGGAGATTTCAGAGTTGTTCCTACAAGTGTGATATTTGAATAGGGTAGGCAGAGTGGTAGAATTAGCATCATGTCAAGATGACAGAAATATAAGAGTCTCAGGCCTCGCTCTAGACTTACCAAATCAGCGTCCATGATTTCAGAAAATCCCTGGGCAATTCTTAGGTATATTATGGCGCTTTTCTGGGTTCAGTTATGTGGCATAACCAATTAATTCATCATCTGCAATGCCAGCATCCCATATGCGCACCTGTTCATGTCCTGGGTACTCTATTTTCAATCTAATTCCCTAAAATGCACCTTGAAAGTAGCTGAAGATGGCCCAAGTGCCTGGGCCCTGCTGCATTTTTTGGGAGGCGTGAATGAAGTTCCTACCTTGGCCAGCCCTGTTCTTTATAGCCATTTGGGGAGTAAACTAGCAGATAAGAAGCTTTTTCTCTCTGTTTCTATCTCTCTGCCCGTCTTTCTCCCTCTCTCTGAAACTCTGCTTTTCAAAAAGGTAAATAAATGTGTAAGAAGAATTTCCTAAAGTAACAGTTCTCAACTGATACAACCAAACATGTTTCATGAATTTATTTATTAATTATAGTCTGAGAGCCAAACTGCCAGAATGATTTACTAGAAAATCCATATAGTATACTGATGTCTTAAAACAAAACAAAGCAAAGCAAAGCAAAAAAATAAAACAAAAAACCCCACTATTCTAAAAGCCCTAATCCTAGTGAAGGCAGTACACATGTAAAGAGACAGCTTCCCTACATCCTAGTGTTATATGCAGTGAGTGCCGCAGTAGAGGGCTGTTGGGAAGATCTCACAAGGGAGCTAAGCTTTGAGTAGAGCATCAATAGTGTTTGTTAGAAAAGGATGAGGGAAGGTCATTGCTCACACAAAGAGTGGCCTATGCAGAGGCCGGCTCGATGCACTTGTTGAAGCTAACTGATGATTGAAGCTCAGTGTCTGCAGTTGAAGAGTCTGCACAGAAGGCTGCTCTGCACTTGGAGTGCGTGGGAGACTCAAAGGGACTTCAACAGACCCTAGAAGCCAAGAAGGAAAGTAGAGTGAGCAAATACGACCATGTTTTTAAAACATGGGCTTGCTTGAGGAAAAGAAAGGAGCTGACCTCTGACTAAAGAAAGCCCTAGTTCTGGAATATAATTAATATAAAATTTGATAAGAGCTTTTCTTTTATGTATTTTAAATTGAATAAATTGTCATGTAGATGAATGCTGCATGCAATATGAGGAATTCGTTTATAGCTTCTGCTTTATCATTTTAAAGTTTTTGTTTGTTTGTTTTTAGTTATGAAGGATTTTAAACAAGGATTTTAAACAAGGATTTTAAATGTCTTTTGAACTAATATGTGGGGAGGGGATAAGGAAAATCCTGGGGCCTATGGAACTGTATCATAAAATGATAATACTAAAAAGAAATAAAAAAAAAAGAACTAAGATGTAATAATGTACATACTGGACTCGGCACAATGGCTCAGTGGCTAAAATCCTCACCTTGCATGTAATAGGATCCCATATGGGCTCTGGTTCGTATCCTGGCTGTTCCACTTCCCACCCAGCTCCCTGCTTGTGGCCTGGGAAAGCAGCAGAGGATGGTCCAAAGCCTTGGGATCCTGTACCATGTGGGAGACCTGGAAGGAGCTCCATGCTCGTAGTTCTGCTCTAGCCATTGTGGGTATGTGGAGAGTCAATCAGCAGATGGAAGATCTTTCTATCTCTCCTTCTTTCTGTAAACCTGTCTTTCCAATAAAATAAATGAATCTCACTTAATACATAAAAATATAGATATTTGTGAGTGCAGTGTGGTATTTCAGGATGTCTATGTAGCATATATTGATCAAGTCACTGTAATTAACATCGGCATCTCCTAATAATATTTTTATTTATTTATTTATTTTGATTGGAAAGGCAGATTTACAGAAGAGAGAGAAAGAGAGAAAGATCTTCCTTTTGCTGGTTCACTCACCAAAATGGCTGTACAACAGCCAGAGCTGAGTTGATCCGAAGCCAGGAGCCAGTACTTCATCCAGGACTTCCACAGGGGTGCAGGGTCCCGAGGCTTTGAGCCATCTTCTACTGTTTTCCCAGGACACGAGCAGGGAGCTAGATGGGAAGTGGAGCAACTGGGACATGAGCTGGCACCCATTTAGAAATCTGGCAGTTGCAAGGCAAGGATTTAGCCGCTAGGCCATCACACCGGATCCCTTAGTCATTTCTTAAAACACTGGTTTGCACTTACTTGTTTTCAATATTTATTTATTTGTATTTGAAGGATAGATTTTACAGTGAAAGAAAAGGTAGAATTATCTTTCATCTAGTTCACTCCCCAAATGTTCTCATAGAGCTGAGCCAATCTAAAGCACGGAGCCAGGAGCTTCTTCTGAGTCTCCCTTGTAGGGAGTTCCAAGGACATGAGCCATTCTGTACAGCTTTCCTCCTGTCCAAAGCAGGGTGTTGGATCAAAAGTGGAGCAACTGAGACTTGAACTGACACCTGTATGAGATACTGGCTTGTTGCACTACTGCACCAGCCGGTTACTCTTACTTATTAGAGTGAGTCCTTAGAAACCTCTACTTGAAGACCTTTAAATCTTCGAGCACTTTTAGAATTTGAGAACAATGCGAAGGCCTCATGTGTCTGATGGGCAACCATTGCTTCCTACCTAACAGAGAGTCTGAAAAAAGTGTATGTTTGTGTGTTGGCTGCTCTGTATTCATGCACATACCCACTCCAGGCGCCATGCTGAGAACTTCAGAACTACAGAACTGTACTATGAAGTTTGTACAATTCTTTCTACTACTATATTCTTCATTCATATCATAGAGAATAATCCTGAGTCAGAAAAGTCAAGTAACTGGACTAGTCTCAGTTAGAGAACGGCAGGCCAGGGATCTGAATCCCTCTCTGCCTCATTCCCTCAGTATCAGCAAGAATATAATAAAAAAAATTTAAGTAGGTCAGAGGGTGGAGTGATATTTAGAGAGAAATTGAAGGCTGGTTTCTATGAAAAGGGGGCAAGTTAAGGGTGACCAGATTAATTGGGAGAGTATTTGAACAAACTTGATTACATCTCTATTTCTCTTTTCCCTCAAATTAATCATTTCTGTCTGTGCTGATGACAGCATCCTGGATCATTCTCTTTGACACTGAATCAGTTGTATGACTTCAGTAAATCCAAGGCAGGGGTCGCTTAGGTCTTGTTGCCTGAAATGTGAACTGCAAAGTTGCTGTTATTCTTTGGTTCATTGGCCTTAATCTCTAAGGCGTGACCTCTGACAGTTGGCTTGTTGACTTGTTTTCCTTTAGAAAAGGATGTGTTATATGAACCTAATAATGTAGAGGACATTAGGGAGACCCTGGTGGATGTGCTCCTATTCAGAGGGCTCCTCAGTACTGTCTTCTCCATGATATAAGCAACAGGATCTGCAGGGTAACAGCTAGGCCAAGTCAAAGCCAGGAGCCAGAAGCAAGGAACTTCATCTGTCACTCCCATGTGGGTGCAGGGACCCAAGCACTTGGCCCATCTTCCACTACCTTTCTCAAGCCATTAGAAAGTAGCTGAACCCAAAAGTGGAGTAGCTGGTGTTTCAGCCATTGCCCAAATGGGATGCTGCTTCACGTGGCCTTGTCTGGGTCACTCCCTTGTGTTAAGAGGACAGCAAGGCTGGGCTGGAGGGCCTGTGCTTTGTTCACATGCTTGGACTCCACCAGGATAACAGCTAGTGTGGGTGCAGCTGAATTCCACTCTGTCTCTGGTGGGGAAACAGCCATGTAAGCTCTAGCTGACTGGCGCAGTTTTTCTAGTAACAGTGCTATACCAAGGTATCCTTAGAACAAGACGTAATTACAAGGAGCCAAGCCATCTGCCTGAATCAAGACCTTCCTTTGAGGTCAACACTGTTGCAGGGATATCTGAATAGTTGGGAAGCAATAGGAACAGATGTGGATAATTGTTGCGTGTAGTAGAACCAGCTGTATTGTGTTTCAGTGTGTGCACTACCATCCCGGAACATGGTGGCTACATATGTATATCCTATTCACGCTTTAGGAGGCGGTATTGGCATGGTGAGATGTTCAAAGAACTGGGCACTGAGGCTTCAATTTTCTTCACACTTGTGGATTCACTTTATGTTTATTGTGAGCATGAAATAAAGTGGTCTGTGGAACTGCCAAGCAGAGAACAGGAAGTCAGCATTCGTCTCCATCCACTGTTAAATCGGTTTGATTTTGATTTTGATTGCTGTGAGTCCTCTAGGAGGAAGTGCCCTCTGTAGAGTCGCCTGTGGAAGTCAGTTGCCATATCATTTTTAAGATTAACTTATTATTCACAGATCACTGAATCAAGCCATGTAAAA